CGCCGGGCCCCCGGGGGAGCCTCGGCCAGCGCCACCCGAACAACTCGCACCACGGCCGCCGAGGCCACAAGGGCCGGGCCAAGGGGCATCGCGCGGGCGAGGCCGGCGGCAGGAACCGGCTCAGGGCGCCGCGCGGGGGCGTGGCCGGGGCGGCCGAGTTGCCGTCGGGCGAGAGCGGTAGCCCGCACAACAGCCCGTCCGACAGCTACCCGGGCAGCAGCCGCAACAGCCCGGGCGCCGGGCCCCCGCTCGAGGGCGAGAGCACGCTCACGCCATCAGAAGGCAGTGACACGAGCGCCGCGCCGCTCCCCGAGGCCGGCCGGCCGGGCCAGCGCCGCAGCGCCGGCCGCGACCACCTCAAGGGCGGCGGGGGCGGCGCGCTGGAGAAGGAGAGCCAGCGCCGCTCGTACCCGCTCAACGCTGCCAGCCTGAACGGCGCCCCCAAGGGCGGCAAGTACGACGACGTCACCTTGAGCGGCGCCGAGGCGGCCGGCGGCGGCTGCATGAAGACGGGGCTCTGGAAGAGCGAGACCACCGTCTAGGCTGGGGGCGGGCGCCGCTTCAGGACGGGCGGGCCGCGCGCGCAGGAGACCCCGCTTCTCGGGGGCCCTCGGAGACGTCGATCGGTACGTCCCCAGGATTGAGGTAGAGGTGCCTCGCTGCGCCCGGGCTCGCCAGCTTTGGTCCCGGAGGCTGGGGAAAGGACAGGCACAGGCCCGCCACCGCGAAGAGGGCCATCCCTCTGGGGTAGCGACAGACAATCCCCGAACCGCAGGCGGGATACGTTTCCGTCCCAGCGCAGGCTGGTTTCGGCAGCCCCTGCCGTCCAGGCTGGGGGGGGGCGGGTAGGTCCTGTGGGGCTGCGGAGTGAGCAAGGGCGGCAGGGACAGCACAGCTCAGGCGGGCTTCTCCTAAGGTACTCCCTGCACCTCCCAACCCGCTCACGGGCGGCCGTCAGCCTTACACGGAACACACGGGCGATGGGGGCCTGAGTACGGTGTTCTCTCCTCACTGCCCTCCTCTGAATCGGTCACCCACCTGTGCCCAGATCCTAGGGCCTCTCCCCCACCCAGTTCTGGCTAACTAGGGAGCCAGCCTAGCAGATGAGCCAGGTGACCAGGACCAGTGGGAAGAAACAAGGTGCTGCTTTTCGGATCAACTATGCAAAAGCAGAAGGCGGGGCAGGGTGAAAGGCAGCTGCAGGGATCAACCAGCCCTCTGGGAGGGGGGCAGGTGGAAAGGTGCACCATCAGGGCTGGAGGCCATTACCACAGGACTGGGACACACACCACACGGCAGGGCTCAGAGGTGGCACTTCAGGACAAAGCCCAGGCCCTACACCTAAGAAGCTGCCTGACAGATGCCTGGAGATGATGTGAGGGAAGCAGAGAGAGTTAGTGCTTAGATCTGGGGCTGAAGCTAGTCCTGCCTTAAACCTAATCCTATAAAAAACCAAAAACAACAAAAACGCTCTGAAGAGGGGCACCACCGCCAGGCTGCAGGTGGTGCTGGAGAAGCACTTACTGTCCAATCACAGGCCCATATCCCGTCTCGGCCCTCCACACCGAGGGACTGACAAAGCTCACTCCCTGCCACATGAGGCCATAGAGGAGAACCGTTCCAATGATCTGATCTCCAGCTCCATATTAGGGAGAAACCTCCAAAACATCAAACCAGGTTCCTGCCTCCCGGAAGCCCAAGCCAAGTCCCCAGGGCAGTGGGTGGGTGGGTGGGGGGGGCCTGGAGGGGGGCAGGTGGAAAGGTGCACCATCAGGGCTGGAGGCCATTACCACAGGACTGGGACACACACCACACGGCAGGGCTCAGAGGTGGCACTTCAGGACAAAGCCCAGGCCCTACACCTAAGAAGCTGCCTGACAGATGCCTGGAGATGATGTGAGGGAAGCAGAGAGAGTTAGTGCTTAGATCTGGGGCTGAAGCTAGTCCTGCCTTAAACCTAATCCTATAAAAAACCAAAAACAACAAAAACGCTCTGAAGAGGGGCACCACCGCCAGGCTGCAGGTGGTGCTGGAGAAGCACTTACTGTCCAATCACAGGCCCATATCCCGTCTCGGCCCTCCACACCGAGGGACTGACAAAGCTCACTCCCTGCCACATGAGGCCATAGAGGAGAACCGTTCCAATGATCTGATCTCCAGCTCCATATTAGGGAGAAACCTCCAAAACATCAAACCAGGTTCCTGCCTCCCGGAAGCCCAAGCCAAGTCCCCAGGGCAGTGGGTGGGTGGGTGGGGGAGCCCTGCAGCTCACCTGGGGCCTGCACCTTCACTGCTTTTAAACACCAGCACGCATATTTCTCCCAACCTAAAAAGCAACCACCAGCCTTTGGTTACAGGATGCAGTGCGAGTGGAGGGAACCCTGGGCCTCATGAAAAGCCACAGGGAAACCCAGCCCAGTCTCCATATCACCCCAGCCTGATCACCAAGGCAAGAGAAGACAGAGGGGAAGGGAGAAAACCCACATGCCTTGGGATGCATCCTGTTATTTATGCTTGCTGCACAGACAATATTAGACAGAAAAAAAAAGGCAAAAAAAAAAAAAAAGCTTCGTATTATTCTTCCACTTATGCTGGCTGCTGTTTACATACCCTGCCAATGCCTTAGCACTGGAGAGCTTTTTGCAATACGCTGGGGAAAGGGGAGGGAGGGGATGAAAAGTGCCAAAGAAAACATGTTTTTAAAAGCTCGGGTTTTATACAATAGAATGTTTTCTAGCAGATGCCTCTTGTTTTAATATATTAAAATTTTGCAAAGCCCTTTGAGCTATGAGCTTACTCCACCCCCGGTCCTTTTGTTAGGAGGGAGAGGATCTCTGACACTGTACACACAAACCCACTAAGGCCTGTGAATGGACGCAGGGCCGAGGGCTGCCCAGTTCCATCCTCTGAGGGCTGATACCATGGGGAATGCGCACTGCTCCACACCAGCAGGGAGGCCCCGCCAGCCCTGCAGCTGCGGTGTATCCAATATGAACCGAGAGCAGGAGAGCGCCTGGAACTTTACCAACAGTCCAAGAGAAAGCCAGCCCACAGAACAGGAGTATGTGCGACCACTGTCTGGGACCGAGGGATGGGACTCTCCAACCCAGGTGTCCCCGTGTTCCTTCTGACTGCGACTCTGGGACCTGGGGTTCAGAAGCTGCAGAGCCCCTCCTGGGTCCCTTAAATGAGAAGAGAGATACCTACGTACTTGTATATACTGATTTCTCTGGCTACATCAGGCCTGTTAGCAAGCCGCCGTCAGATGGGGTTAAGCGCCCGCCCCCCGCCAGACCCTGGCTGTGCATCAGGGAGGGTTAGGGACACTCGTGGCAGCCTGTCTAGTGGCCTGGGCTCTCTGGAAGTCCCTAACTTCCTGAGGGGTACGCAAATACTGCTCGATCTCACTATCAGAAATGTTCTCATCTCCAGTGACCGTGGAGACAGGGGGTGTGGGACAGATCCGCTTTGGGGGCTTCAACATGCAGGGTGGGAGGAGGAGGGCAGGGCTCGCTGGCCGCTTCCCTGCAGGCAAATCTACGGAGCCGTCGCCCCGGTCCTCTTTTCCCCATCCTTGCCCCTGGCCCGGCCCCTGCAGTTCCTTCTCCCGGGCGTCCAGCGCGTCTGGCTCTGCTGTTCCGTCTCGAAAGGCCTTGCGAACCAACGTGTGGCGGTGCTGGAGGAGGTCGCCGACATGCGCGACCACAGACCGCTTGTCAAGCTTCAGGACCTGCAACCAGGCCAGCTGCTCGGCCAGCCGCAGCAGCACAGCCAGCAGCTCCTGCAGGCGGGAGGAAGCGGGGTAGGGCAGGTCCACGCTCGCCAATTTACAAAATCGGGCAAGGGAACACGTCAGCCGATCTGAAGGCCGCAGCGACTGCCAAGCCAGGAAAGTGGCAGCGGTGATGACAGGCAAGGGATGCCGCCCAGTCACCAGCCACGTCTCATCTGCCAGCTCCACCAACTGCAGTGTTCGCGATAGCATCTTCTCCTTGTCTTCCACGTACTTGGTTGGCACAGACGGGGAGGCTTCAAACAGTTTGAAGCTGAAATAACCAAAATGAGGGTCTGATCTCAATACCTCTGGGGGACCGCTCTTTCAAAGCGCGGAAGGTGGGCAAGCTATGCTATCCTCCCGGGAACACTCAAGCCTGCTGGGCAGCAAGTTTATCCAGGTACCGAGAGAAGACAGGGTGAGTCTCCTGCTAAAGAGGTAAAGAGCAGGAGAATGCAGAAGGGAGCTAGCATTTCTTGACAATCCCCCTCCCCCCACCCCATCAGCCATCATTCTGAGGGCTTCACAAATGTTCTCCTTTAATCTACTCCACAGCCTGTCACGTGCATTCAGAGTCAAAAAACTTGCCCATAGTCATCCAGCTTGGATGTAACCAAGCTTCACACCCAAGATTGTTTCACACCGATAGTCTGCTTTCTACCATATTTGTCAGAAAAAAAGAACACAGCTACTTATTTTTAAAAAAAACAAAAAAACTGGCTCCTAACTCCAGCTCCGTCAGTTACTAATATCCTTTCAGCTCTAATCACACATGATCCTATCGAGGCATGGCTGTTCCATCTAGCCAAGTAGGCCACACACGACATGAGTGGTGGAACCCAGGAGCCCCGTGCCAAGGCTAACACCTTCCTTCCTACATCATTAGGTTGCTGTTAGGGCAAAGGGATTTGAAAATTATAACATTCCAGAAATGTAAAACAGGATTAACCTGATTAGTGCTAGGCACAGGAAAGGGAGAAGACTTTTTTCTCCCACATCCTTGTAGAATGGGCTTTGGTCAAAAACAGCCAGCCAGAGGTAAAAGGATTCAGGTCTAAACCCATCCCATCCCCGTGTCTCCCACTAGGCAGGTACCTGCTACAGTAGGTCTTCACCAGGTCCACCAAGCACAGAGATGGCACATCCAGCCCCAGGAGCTTCACCATCTGCAGGTAGGTGCCAGAAAACACATCCAAATCTGCATACAGCAGGGTGCAGATGGTTCCCATGGTCAGGGGCCAGTTACGCTGTCGGCAGGTGATTAAGACACAGCACCCGACCAACACCTCCTTCTTCTGCAGCCTGGCAGCACGGATGCCAGAGTGCTGGTATGCCTGTTGGTAGTAGGCAACTGCCGTGTCCTCAAACGTTGGTGGCAGCTGCAGAACTCGACAGAGGTCTCTCACTCGGCAGAGACCTAAGAAACCCACAGCAGGAGTTAGAGGGGCCCCAACATCACCTTAAAAGGATCATACACCACGATCAAGTGGGATTCACCCCAGGGATGCAAGGATTTTTCAATATCTGCAAATCAATCAGTGTGATACACCACATCAACAAATTGAAAAATAAAAACCGTACGATCGGGCTTCCCTGGTGGCGCAGTGGTTGGGAGTCCGCCTGCCGATGCGGGGGACGCGGGTTCGTGCCCCCGGTCCGGGAAGATCCCACATTGCCGTGAAGCTGCTGGGCCCGTGGGCCGTGGCCGCTGGGCCTGCGCGTCCGGAGCCTGTGCTCCGCAACGGGAGAGGCCACAGCAGTGAGGCC